GGGCCAAGGAGCCCTCCGTGGCTCTGTACCGGCTGCAGGAGCATGTCAGGAGGTCCCTGCCAGAGCTGGCACAGCACAAGGTGAGTCCTGCCCCTCCCTGGGCTCTGGACCTGCCACACAAGTTCTTTCCCTCACTTGGAACACGATCATTGATTCATCTCCCTGGGATGAGGGGGGAGCAGGAGGGAGGATCAGCCCCGGGGGTGTGAGGGGCTGGGGGAGCCCGGGTTGTTGAACCAGAGGGAACGAGGGGATCCTTGAGAATGATCCATGGGGAAAAACCTTGAGGGCCCAGCCCTGTGCTCGCATGGCTGGACTTGTGTGTGGAGACAAAGAAATAGGAGTAGTTTGCCTTGTGTGGGGAGGAGGGAGGTGTTAAATCTTATTCCCCCTCCCTGCACCAGGAGATTAGTTTTTTCCTCCATAAAACCAGGGTGAGGGTGAGAAGGAGGGAAAGGGGGGGGAGTGTGAGGAAACAAGTGCAAAGAGGCAAAGCAGGATAATGAATTGCATCTCCCAGCTGTGTTCCTGCTTTCCTCCCCAGCACACGTTAGCACCAGCCTCCTTGTCCTTCTCCCTCTTCTGCCAGTCATGATTCATTAGGAGTGATGTCTCATGAATAGATTACTGCCTCATGGCTATGCTAATGTGCTGTCAGGCCCCATTTTTCACCTTTGCTTTACAGCCCTGCTTCCCAAATTAACCTGGATTGTGACACTTTATTATTCAATTATTTATTAAGGTTTCCCATACGTGTCTGTGTGCAGGGGTGGGTGTATAGAGATGTACATGGGTGTGCAGCACATGCTGATGCAGGTGAGACAGGTTTGGAATATTATTCCAGGGCTGTCAGTTGCTTCCATTTAATCAAGAGAGATCCCAATTTCAGGGAACGTGTCTGGAACAAAAGGAAATGGAGCAAATTGTCTGACAAGTCATGCAGGGGGAAGAGGTTGGTTCCCATCCCGGGGGTGAGGGGCAGAGCAGAGGCTCTCGTGGAAGTGACAGCCAAGGGAAGGCACTGGGCATGGAGCATATTGTTGAGCATCTGGGTTTATGCCAGGCAAGACCTCTGGAGTTCTCTTTTGTAGCCAAAATTCCCCCTGTTTTCCACTTTCTCCCTGTGGGAAGGGAGGTGGTGCTGGCCCCTGGGCACCAGCAGCAAACACAAGGACCCCAGGCCCCCCCGTGTCACCAGAGCTGTCACAGGCACCAGGTTGCTTCACGTTCAGCCTTGCAGCATTCCAGCTTCCCAGCTGCTCTCCTGCTTCCTGGTGTGCTGACCTAGCAAGAGGTGGGAGGAGAATGGGAAGAGAATTCTTTGTGGCAGCTGGAACAGCAGATCCAGAGCTGCTGCCTCTTGGGACTTCTCCAGCCTTGTCAGCTCCTGAGTTCTTTTTTCCAAGGCTGCAGGATCGTGTTTGGGATCTCCCTGCTGGTAACCAGTCCCTGGCAGAAACTGGGAGGGTTCAACCTAACTCAGGTAGGCCAGTGTCATGACTCTGCTGCCAGTAACAGCCTCATGACAGGTTTTCTCCCATGTCCTCAATCCCACTCTCCTTTTATCCCAGTTTCAGGCCTTGCAGCAAACAGAATGGGCCTGTCAAGCCCTTGAGCCCAGGCAGCCAAACCCCAGGAGAGAGGGAGACACCTGGGGCTCTGCCAGGGCTGTGGGCACAGCAGAGTGTGGAGAGGACAAGGGGGATTAAAACTGGAAGAGGGGAGATTGAGGTGAGACATGAGGAGGAAATTCTTGAGTGTGAGGGTGGTGAGAGCCTGGCCCAGGTTGCCCAGGGAAGCTGTGGCTGCCCCATCCCTGGCAGTGTTGAAGGGCAGGTTGGATGGGGCTTGGAGCAGCCTGGGCTGGTGGGAGGTGCCCCTGCCCATGCAGGGGGGTTGGACTGGATGATCTTTGAGGTCACTTGCAACCCAAACCATTCCATGATTGGTGGGGATGGATGGTCCAGGTTGCTCTGCCAGAGCCCATTGGCTCCGTGGCTCAGCAGGGGAACAGGAGGTGTCAGCAGGGGGTGTCATCAGGGCTGTGCACCGTGAAAACCCTGCCAGGTTTGATCTAAATCACAGCAGAGGCATTGGAGTGAGGTGGATTTAATTCTCCAGTCCAGAGGAAAAAGGAATGTTCTGTGTGGATCCATTCTCAGGTCATTTAGTCCCGGGATGTAGGTGATGCAGAAAGGAAATGGGATTTATTGGTGATTTCCAGCTTTCCTTCAGCTGTGCAGCAACTTCATCCCTGGCTGGCTGAGTTCTCCTGAGACACAGCCTCTGAAATTCCAAGGGGGATTAAACCCAGGAAAAGAAATGGGAGCAGTTTGGGGGGTGCTGGGAGAAAGGTTTCTGCAAGGAGAAGGTCACCTCTGTGCCTGGCCAACAAGCAGCTTTCTGGGATTTGTTAAACCAGCCATTTTCATCCCATCTTCCTCACCCTCTCAAACCCTCTGAGCAGATTTCCCACCTCCCAGATAAGAGGAGGATGTGAGGCCCTGGCTGCTCAGCCCCACTCCTCACAGAGCAGCCTGTCTTGATTTCCTCTGGTCTTGGGAGAACTTGGATCTCTCTGGTTAATTTATTTCCAAGCAGCAGGAAAATCATTAGTGCTGCTGGGTGTTAAGAGCTGGCTTTGGTTCTTAAACTGCAGCCAAGGACATGTCCTGGGAATTTAGGATGGAAAGATTTAGAAGTGAGGAGTTCTAGGGAAAGGCTCTTGTCCCTAATACAGGATGTGAGAATCCCAGGAATTGGTGGGGATGCTGGGAATGGACACCACTGGCTCTGATACTGGGAAATGCTTAAAATACTGGTGCTCAGGAAGGGCAGGACCACAGGCTGTGATGTCAGGGTCTGAGTGGTTGTTCTGGCACCTCCTGGGCAGCACAGGGTGAGGAACTGCAGGGAAGTTTCTGCACCTTTTTTGCAGCCTCCTCTGAGGAAAAAGTGTCTTAGCCAGGGATGCAGCTGCATGAGCTGGGATTGGGCTCAGGGAGGAGTGTGGTCTCCATGGGGCTGTGAGTCCTGGGGGAAGGATGCTGGAGCATGGCATGTAGGGGCCTGTTTCTCTTGTAGTTTAAAGCTCTGTGGTCAAGTGTCCTGATGCAGGGCAGGCTTTGAACAGCAGAAGGGATTCTGGATGCAGTTCAAGCTCCTGCCCAACCTCCTGCACCCACAGAAAGAGCCCTTGGATCTCCTCTGCCTTGTAGCAAGATGCAGCAGAATAGGCTGGAGAATTAGCTCCCAGGAGAACAGATTTTAAAGAGCACCCAAACTACTGAAGGGCTTTTGAAGCAGTTTCCTGTTGAGCTACATCCCTGAATTCTATTGGGATTGGGATGTTTGTTTGGCTTTCCCTTCCCTTGGTACAGTTCTGGCCTGTGGCAGAGCTGCCTGCCTTGGGGTGAGGTTCACAGGGCTCCTTCCAAGGTGCTGGTGGCTGCTGGGGACCATCCCCTGGAGTTTCAGAGGAGACTGGAGGACAGGGACAACTGTGGCTGTGCAACTTTGATCAGTGGCAGATCCAGCACTTCCTGTGCTGTGAAATAAAATTCCCTGCTTTTGTGTGAAGGACTGATGATCTTTAAGGTCCATTCCAACCCAAACCATTCTGTGATCCTGTGACTAAGCACAGGACTCTGCAGGAGCTGTGTCAGGTCAGATCCTGCTGGGCCAGACACCCTGGGACATCCCAGTATTCCCAGACATCCTTCTCTGTTGTGCTTAGGTCCGTGGCTTGTTGCTCATGGGCTAAAACATCTAAAACCAAGGGGAATCTTGCCAGCATATCCAAAGTGTTGGCCTGAACTACTAGCCCTGCCAGAAATAGGCACAAGGAATGTTTCTTTTAGTTGCTAGTGCCTGGTGCCTGGAGACAGGCTGCCCATCTCAGTGCAGCTCCCAGTGGGAAGAGCCCGTGCTTGGGCAGGGCTGGTGGGACACGTTGCTGTGGGCTGTGTCTGCCCAGCACACACCTCATGGTGCCACCTCCTCTTCTCTTTCAGTCCGACATGCAGAACTGGGAGGAGCAAAGCCAAGGAGCCATCTACACAGTGGAATATGCCTGCAGGTACAAGGGGGGGTGTTTGCAGGGGGAGGTTTTGTAGCAGCAGAATCACAGAGTTGTCACAGTTGGGAAAGAGCTCCAAGATCCCCAAGTCCAACCATCCACCCAGGAGGAAAAAACAAACCCAAACCACCACAGAAAACCAGAACCACCCACCCCACAAAGCCAACAACACCACACAACCCACAATAAAACAACCCCACCAAGCCCACTGGAACATGCCCTGAAGTGCCACATCTTATTTTGAATCCCTCCAGGGATGGTGACTCCAGCACCTCCCTGGGCAGAGCCTGTCCCAGTGCCTCACCCTGCCTTCAGTGAAGGATTTCTCCCAAATCTCTAGTCTGAAACCAAAGCAGAGGGGCTTCCCTGCTGCCCCCCTGGTGTGGGCCATGGGGGGAGCAAGGCAGGGGGGTGGGAGGCAGGCAGTGCTCTGAACTGCTCCATGTGTGGGGCAGAGCTGCTGGTCCTGCAGTGGATCCAGCCAGCAGGGAGGTGCCACGTGCCAGGGATGCAGGGCAGCAGGTCTGGCTGAGCACCTGGCTCAGCAGACTCCACCTCATGGTTGGACTCAACGATTATCTCCAAGGTCTTTTCCAACCAAAACCACTCTGTGATTCTCCTCCCTGCTATGAACCTGAGGTTTCTTCCTCACAATCCCCTCTGCTGTGTGCTCGGAACCCACGATGCCTCTGAAAATATTGACCCCTCTCCCTCCACCCTCCTCTTCCCTTCTTCCAGTGCCATCAAGAACATGACAGACAGCAGTGTGTACTTCAGGAGCATTGACAACCTGCTCAGACAGGCCATTGCCATCAAGGACCAGCTGAATGCTGCTCAGGGCCGCAGGTAGCAAGGGGAGGGGACACTGTGTGTCTGGGTGACCCTCCTGGCTCTCAGGATGATGTCATATGCCAAGCAGATCTCCCATAACACAATTCCAGGCTGTTATTTGAAAGAACATTGCTCCTTGCCTCCCTGTGATCCTCTGGGTTGGTTTGCTGAGAAGCAAATAATCTTGTTTACAAAAGGGTAACTGGAAGGTAATTTATTTCATGTGGTGTTGGTAGATCTGGTTTAGGGTTTAGGGGAGAACTTTGTAGAGCAGGGATGATGGTTGGACTCAGTGATTCCCAAGGGGCTTTTCCAACCTGAATAGTTCTAGGATTCTATGATTCTATTTCCATATTTCAAAAGGGATGTTTTAAACATTAAACCTTTGTTGTGGCCAAGGTGTTTGGAATGAAGTGGGGCTACCAAGATGGAGCAGGGGGGAGGCTGTGCTTGGTGCTTGTCCTGGTTTGAGCCAGGACAGAACCAGTTTTCTTCCTAGTGATTTTTCTGTTCCCTGTCACCTGTGTGGCTCTTTTCAGGCAGAGTCCCACAGAGATAAGTGGTATCAGAACATGGATGTATTTTTCTGCTTGCAGTTGAACTACAGCTACTGAAATACCTCCCAGCAGCTTGTCTGAGTCTGGGGTGTTTGTTGGTGCAGTGTTGGTGTTGGAGTCTGACTGGGAAGGAGTGAGAAAATCCCCTGATAGAACCAGCACAGCCACCAGAGCCCCTGTCCCTGCAGGGTGTCCCTCCCTTACCCCTTCTGGCTCAGGGCCTGTACTTGCCCAGTTCTCCTCATGGCAGGGTCACACTCTGCAGCCCACAGGGGTTTTAGTGGGTGCTGTGGGGCTGTGCAGACTGCTGTCCTGACACCCCTGGGGCTGCTCTGCAGAGCACACTGGAAGGTGTGCTTGGAACCTGTGCTTGTCCAAGCTGCTCTCCTGCAGCAGGCAGTGAGTTTTTGTTGGAGGGAGCCCCTGCTTCTTCACAATTTCATGTCTGCCACTGTCCTTGCCAGACCTGACTCACTCTCTCTTTCTACAGCACTGTTGCCCCACAAGCCAAGAATCCTCCAACCAGTTCTTGATCCCACACAAGACTGCCCATCCTCTGCCACCATCTCCAGCCCACTTCTATCTTCTCTGACCACATGGAGGAGTGAGAAACCACCTGCTCCATCTGTGAAGCTGCCCAGAGGCCTCTGCCTGCCTCCCTGCTCCAGGGAACAAGGTGCTGCACCTGGGCAGGCAAATCCTGGGGTCAGGACTGCCTTTGGGGGATGCTTTGGGGAGCACTTGTGTCCCTTTCCACAACACTTTTCACAAGGGAAAGGGGGTGGATCTGCATCTGTCCTTCTCCATGGCAGGCTGCTATGAGGCATTTCTTCTCTCTACCTCTTGGCCACAAATATCTCAGAAAACAAACAACAAACCAACCCAAAACTAGGTCTTGCTTTCAGTGTTTTGTGGATGGTTGGGTAGAGACGTAACGTGGGCACACTCCAGCTTTGTGCAGGGGGCCATTCTGCAAGGAGGGGTTTTCATCTGGGTGCCAGGGAGTTGATGAATTTGGTTTCAATGAGAACAATAATAAAAAGGAAAAAAAAAAAAAGAAAGGAAAACAAGAAAGTTCTGTCTAAAACCTTCCCCTGCTGCTCAGTCAGGCTGGGGGGTCCTGGAGCCTGTTGGCTCTACGTGTTTCAAAGGAGCAAAACAAAGACTGGTGGAGCTGGAGCCTTTCAAGGGAAGAAAGGAAACTGTCCTGGCCTTCAAAAAAACAACCAAAAAAGGACTTTCTCTATCCCCTGTCAAGCAGTGGGAAGCAGAGCTGCATGCACAGCTCTGGAGGTTGCTTGAAAGGGGGCAGCTCCAACCTTGATATTCCCTGGAACCAGCAGTTTTGTTCTGCTGGAGAATTTACCAAGGATGCAGGGATCAGAGCAGTGCTGGACTCAGTTCCCATAGAAATTGTCCTGCTCTCAGGAGGTTTCCTCTGTCTCCATCTCACTTTTTGCTCCTCCATAGCCTCCCTAGGTTTCTGAAGCTCTGCTCTGGGTGGGATGAACCATCTCGGTGTGACTCTGGCTCCTGGGGATGGAGGAGGCAGGGGCAGCCAGGGAAACCAGCTGGCATCTGCTGGACAAGGAGCAGAGGTCTGTTTGTGGGCAAGGTCCACTCACTGCTTCTCACCCGTGTGTTCCTCCTCCTTTGCTGGGGTTGGAGCAGCCATGGGGGTCCTGCCTGGGTCATGTTGTGGTCCTTGTTTGTGGTATCAGCAGTGTCCCCCAGCAGGAGGGGCTGGGGGCTCAGGGCAGGTGGCTTTGAGTGGAGGTGGCATCTCAGTAGAAGCAGCAAAGAGCATCAGGCAGGAGCTGCCCAGACCCCCGGGTAGGGGGGTGAGGGTGGAAGAGCCACCCCCTGCCCAGCTGAGACAGGACCCATATTAAGCTCTAATCAGACATGCAAATCTTGGCCCTGGCTGCCTGCAGCTCCCCTGGGACCAGAGAAGGTCCCACTTCCATTCACACCAGGGTGGAGTCCTTGCCTGAGGCTCCAGGCTTTCGGGACAGCACGTTCCTCATCTCCTGGGTGATCCCACTCCAGGGCTTCCCCTGTGCCTGCAGCAGCCCCGGCTCTGCCGACAGCGTCCGGGGTGTACGCACCAGGTGGGAACATTCCTAAAAAAAATGGGAGCGAGGCCCAGGGCTGCCCGAGGAGGTGAGGTTGCTGCTGGCTGGAGAGCCCAGCTGGGATTTACGCTCCAGGAAAGGAGGGAAAGAAAATTCCCGGGGGATCTCAGGGCGGGGAGGGGCCGCGTTCCTGTTGTTCATGCGGCTGCCGGGGGAGTCGCCGTGTTGGGCTGAGTCGTTCTCGTACAGCGTGTGAGAAACCTCGGGGCGGTGCCGGTGGGAGAGCTGGGAAGCCCTGAGCAGGGCGTGGGTCACCGTGATCAGCAGGACAATGACACCCGAGGAGAGGATGCAGGCACTGGCGATGCCAGCCTCCAGCTCGAACAGCAGCAGCATGTAGATGGCAAGAGCTGGAAGGAAAAGGTGAGGGCAGAACACCTTGAGGGACCAGGAGGACTGAAGCAGCTGAACCTGTGGCCTTCAGGCCCTGCTGCTCACCCAGAACACAACGTCCCCCCCAGCAAAGCCATTTGCAAAACAAACCCGGTGCTGGAGTAGAAACTCAGCAGGCCAGAAGGTCCCTGCTAGGCTGTGCTGGTGGGACCTGAGCACTTACCTGTCAGGTAGATGGAGACCCCACAGCAGAAGAGGCCGATGGCAGCGTGACGGACCCTCCAGCTGTCCAGGAGGAACCAGTCAGCCCTGCAGGAAGGGGGAGGAAAGGACAGGGCTGTGAGTCTCCTGCTCTCAGCACAGGAAAAACACTCTGGCCTGGGCTGAGAAACTGGAAGGGTTTTGCATGGAGAAGAAGTGGAGAGCCTGGTCACAAGCCCAGGACCTCCTCTGAACTGGGTTTTCCTCCAGGTTTTGCACAGCTCTGGGCTGCCTTATTGTCACTCTGGGACAGAAGATTGGGAGAACACTTGAAATTTTGAACTTTTCCTGCCTGTTTTGAGTAAAAAAAAAATGGGGGCAGGTGCTCAGGAGAGAGAGAGAAATGGCTGGAGGTTTTTTTGCAGGTGATTTTCCCCTGTTCAGCAAACCCTGAAGAGTAAGGAGCAAATCTGAGGTGTGTGGAGCCCATCTGCCCCTGCAGGGATGAAGCAAGGCCAGGTTCTCTCCTCACCCTTGGGATTGGATTTCTGTGCTCAGCTCGGATTGCAAGGCTTTTGTCTGGAAGTGGCTTGGCACTTGAATTGTCCTTAAAACACATGAAAAGACCAGCTCCTTTCCAGCAGGGCCTTTGTTTCCCACCCTGCAGGCTCTCCACCCAGCCCCTGACAGCTCTGCTTGGGCCTCTTTGGAGCTGGATTGACCTGGCAAACCTCAGTCCTGGCTGGGCTTTGGAGGCTGCTGTCACCAGAGGATGCCTCTGCTAATTGGGAGAGGGGTCGTTAGGGGCAGCAGCTCCGTGGGGAGGTGGGCAGGTGGGTGCCAGGCAACTCCAGGGGTTGGAAACCTCATTGCTTTGAGAGGTGCCAGCAGGACCGTGATGCTGAGGATCCAGAGTCCCCTGAAACAACTCGGGGTGCAGGAGACCTCGCTGGTCCCACCTCCCAAAACCCCGAGGAGCTGGTTGGGAATGCATCCCACCTTAGAAGGGGCAGCAGCACCACCCTCCTCCCGGCAGGAC